ATAGAAGGGAGTAAAAGGCAGTTATAAGTAATGAAGTCAAGAACATAATGGTATAATGATATGTGACAAACTTCTAAAGAGTTTATTTAAACTGGTATTGTTCGTCTAATGAAGTAAATATGACAAGAGATTGTGATGTATTTTTCATTATATGTTTTAAGTAACCATTAATTTCTTTTTAAACTTAGCTTATATTAAACCATAAATTTACATATTAATTAACTTTTGCTTTAAGTTATATAAAATCTACTGTGTAGAGTTGCCAGGAGTTATTCCATACGATACTATTATTTTAATTTTTTAGCACTATTATTATATTACTATAACTTTATTAGCACTAGCACAACTTTATTTTTTGTTTGGTAGAAATGTATAGGAATAATGTATATAAATATGTCATGCTTTTAATGTAGAAACAATATACCGGGCGGTGGGGGAAGCAAGGAAAATTGGCTCTTTAATATTACACATGTCCACACGGAATAGCAGGTGTCATTTTTTAGTAAATAGCTCATAACATTATGTTGATAATTCAATAATTCAATCAAGTACAATATAGGCACAGTTATTTGTTAACCAGGTACGATTAAAAATATACGTCTATAGTTAATGCTGTATTAATGAATTGATAGAATGTTATCTTTGGGTACATACTGATTAAACCATCATGTATGATGTTTTTGCTTTATTTTGCTTGTTATTAAGTATAACGTCTCTTCTTCTGCCTTAGGGTTTCATAAGTATCGATAAAGTGGCTAGTTGATTACAAACACACACCCACACACACATACAGACGCACAAAGACATAATTGTAAGATCTTACAAATACTCATACTTTCTAAGTTTATTCCTTAGACATTCCTTAAAATATTTAGCAAACTACATTTGTCAGAACAAAACAAAGGTCTGGACACGAATAAAAAAAAGTAACCGGTCATCTCTACTGGATGCTCTATATTAGATATGTTATTGCAACATAACTCTTATTTACTAAACAACAATGTTACATAAGCCGTGATGTTTCATACAAAGATAGAGAATTTACGTACGTTCAACTTCAATTTATTGTATTGTATGGATTTTTTAAAATGATCAATACTAATTAGATATTAATTTAATGCTTCCTCGATCGACTTCTTAACTAGCTCTAACTAGATACAAATTCGAAAGAAGAATTCTGAGAACTAGAAGACACATTTGGGGATCATATGTGTATCTTCAATGTGTTTATGTGTTGCATAGATATTTCGCACTAACTATCACCGTCTGCTGACCCACGCTCCAGTGGTCAGCTGACCGTCCCACGTGACCGGTCAGCTCCTGTATTTCCTTTGGTCCTACATTAAACTCGTTACACTCGTTAGACATAACAAAATATATTTAGTTGGAGTTTTAGTTTCTGTTCTAAAATATTTATATCAGACTATTTTTTACGGAACCTATAAGGCATTTCAAAGTGTGCCAGACGAGTTATATTTAGCATAAGTTCAAATCTCCGGGAGTTACATTGATAGACCCACCTCTACGACTTTCATGATGCGGCAAAAACTGGCCGATATTCACCGCCTTACAAAGTCTCGTCGACAGTAACCCGATAAGAGTTCATTATTTTTATACATACTGTTCGAGGACAAAACACACATATAAGACATATTTTTCATGCATCTCGTCGGCATTGAACTACCCCCCACCCCCCTTCCTCAAACACGTTCTCAAAGTAAAAATTAAAAATACAATTTCTAAAGAAAATATATACTTCAACCAGTGTCCGCTCCCGAATAACAAAGATAAATGTCTGAAAGACACACGGCCCATTTGCAAAGTACGTGTGATTACCCCCTACTGTGAAGAAATCACCTGTAGCAAAAGTTGTAAAAGTGACAAAAAAAACAACAGTGGCCAATGTAGGAAAACGCTCAAAACTGACCAAACGTCAGCATTTGTATATGTCGCTAAATTCCTGAAAAACGACAGCAAAATTTACAGCTTTATTGTGCACTACTAAAATAATGTGTATTAAAACACAACCAGTAATTTGCGATCTCCGAAAGGCAATTATCTGCCCTTTCTTAGAGTACGTGGAAGCAACTGCAGTTCACGGACGACAACACTCTGATTAAGCGATGGCTAGTAATTTTCTTTCTTTCCTTTAGTTTCAAATCGTTTACAAACTTAATACAAATACAATACTATTTTAAATAACTATAAAGAAAAGCGTGGGTCACTTTATTATCTATTGGATACCTTTACTAATATGTAGGAAGAGACCCACGCTTTTCTTGATTGTTATTTAAATAGTGTATAATTTATTTTCTACCTTTTAATGCATTATTACAGAAAAGTTACGAATAATCCTGAGTAGGGTTATACTATCACTCGCTGCATACACGTGCTTAAACACAGTGAATCTTTTCTACAAGTACCAACTTAGGAACAGAACACATTAATAAACAAACACAAACGCCCCGAGCAACACGCAAATGCAAATACAAATAAAAACACACAAAAAGAAACCGCGTAATTAAACACAAACTCAAATACAAACGCAAACACAACACAAACATGAACATAAACAGAAAAGAAACACAAATGGAACTTTCAAAGACAACACAAACACAAACGCAAGCACACACACACACACACAGAAAAGAAAAAACTCAAACATATTCAACACATTTAACTAATTACCGATGAACCAACCGACCAACGAACAATACCCTTGCTGGTCGGGTGACGACACCAAATTATCCTGAAACAGAATTATACTAATCAACTTGGTTCCTTACACGAAAACGATACCACATCACACATCATAAATTGTATGCAATATCATTATAACATAATTCAAATCCAGATCATAGTGGTATTATTATCTTCTTAACAATATAACACAGGCAGCAAACCGGTGTATCCACAATAACTATAATATTGGCAACTATCACTAATACTGAAGCCTTATTTATCATATTGCAATCATGATTATCATGAAACAACAAAAGGCTCATAATACATAAATGACCTGCTTAATCAGTAAAATTATTGGCCTCACTAACACGTTAGAGAAAACAAGTTAATTAAAAAGTCTAGTGACATTTAAGCGCAATTTCCTTATGTTATCTAAAAATAGCTCTGTCGTAGCGTAAATCAAGAGCAGGGTTAGTAAAACCATTGGTTAAAACACATGTTTTATTTACAATAGAGTTACATGACTAAAAACCATTGCGCTCCTAGCTACTGAATGTGATGACGCAGCCATTGAACGTGATGGCGTAGCTATTGAACGTGATGACGCGTGTGGTGTGGTTGGATAAAAATGCCTACTAATTCGGTCCAAATTTTAATTAATTAAAAAAAAAAAAATTGTGACCGAAGGAAAGGATATTTTTGAAAACTTTCTTTGGCAATATTGTTATAAATTATGGCAGGAATCGATTGGTACATGTTTCAAGTCGCTAAGTAGTCTGGTTGCCGAGATATGGGCCAAAAACTGCATTTTTTGAGGGTTTTTTGGCTTTTCCGGGAAATCCATGAAAGAAACCCGGAATTTTTATGGCCCATGTTCATCCTCGTAGCTTGCTTAACATAATTGCTTTTGGAACTAGTCCTCGATATTGCTTCGTTGAGGAGGAGATACGACTTAAACCTGCGGACACACATTCATCCATCCAGAAATGACGGGTTAATAAACGCAATTCTCCAGAATGGAAATTGCGCTAAAAATGAACATACCCACTTTTTAAAAACATATATGAAAAGGTATTGCTTATCTAGTTCGTAGAACGTGGGTCTCATCACCGGCTTCATCACACAACACACGCTTACCACACGGATCAACTTGTGTTTCACAACACAGTTCCCCCAGCACGGCCCTTAGAGTACATAATCTCTCACATGGTTCTTCATGATAAGAGCCCATATATTACAGAGATAATTATAGTCCATTCGAGCCGTATCGATGAAAATTGACTGGAGCAGACAGTTTTAGCGTTTACTGACTAGAAGCTATATATCCGTCGACTAGTTACTGAGTTCTTTTAAAGCTACCCCACCATGTTAGGGGTGGTTAGGGGGGGAAGGAGGTTACAAGCCCCCCCCCCCCGATGGTACCATCTAAAAAAAAATTCATTGTCATAATACCACTGTTACTTACTTAAATTTATTTCTGAATCAGTATATCTGTATAATTGTATATGTATGTTTAGAAACCAAATAAAAACTGATGCTATGATCACTCTGAGTTGGTCGACCCCCCCCCCGAACCTCACTACTTCACTACCTAAAACGGGACACAAAATTATGGTCACACCTAGGTATACGCTGGGTAGGATAATTGACCTAAAGTGACCGGACAGCGGTGAATGAAGTTATATATATATAACATGCTTGAAATTTTTTACCCCCCCCCCCCCATGATACTATTCTGGCTACGCCACTGTACTGCTTCACGTTGTTATACTTGTCCAACATGTTATAGTTGGGGACTATGTGTCCCACAGATACGCAGTGAGAGGGTCTACACTACCATATAATTCTGTCTAGCCATTCAGTAGTTCATTCCAAAGCTCGACCACATCAACGTACACAAATGATTCGACAAGATGACTTTATTTAATTTTTCTATTTATTGCACTATAGAAAATACGATTTGAACGAACAATACTAAGACTGGACTACAACACGACCTCATATTAACACATCAAGAACAAGACTACTTTAAATTTCTTCCCCGGCAACAACGATCCTACACTTTCGCTCGTTCATTATCTTTCTCGCTAAAGTTCGCTCGCGCCAATATTCTAATGCTTACTTTGCATTTTAATGTTATTATTAATGTTTTAAAATATAATTATACATATAGTTTAAAACAAGACTAGATTTAACTATATAAGAACTTTTTCATACTCAATGAGTGAATTAAAACAGTATTCATTTTGTTGGCTTTTTTTGTTGCTATAAATATAGTTATATTACGTCTGTACTACTTTATTTAGACTTCGCAGTTATAACTTTGGCCGAATCTTCATTTCGCTGAAGTCTACACTATCATAACTGCCAGTAATGCTATTCCACTGCGCACCTTTACCGAATTCTTTGCTTCCCCAAAGACCATTTAAATTTGACATGTGACACAAAGAGTACCACCAAGCGCCATGGAATGTTACAGCACAATGTCTACTGTTGTCAACATCATTGTCCTTATCATATGTACTAAACATACGACGGATAGATGAGGTTTGGAGATCATCTCCTGCATTGCCCGAGTGTTGTTGGTATGAAATTTTGTAAGACTGACTTTCTGGGTACAAGAAAAAGTCTGAATAAATTGCATAGTAGCTCGAACCATTATACTTCATATCTATTCTTAAATCGTACGATTGGTTTACGGTAAGGCAGTAAATGTTTTCGTTACCGAGGTAAAATTCCCCAGCGTCAAAATTTCCGAATCCAATTTTGTATTCTTCCCAGTTCCGGTAGAAGTCCACGGCACCGGAGATACGTCGTTGGAAAATTGTCCAGCCACCTCCGTCAGTCAAAGTGTCACACATGACCACAAGACCATTGGGGTGTTTTAAAAGCTGTCGGGGATTGGAGGAATTCTTTACATCAGCACAGGATTGATAAGGACTAGCAAGGTTTAGTAGACTTGTGTCTTTCATCTCAATACGTCTTTGTTCTGTTTGAGGTAAATATAAATAAATGCAAAAAAAATCATTTAAAATATTTTAAAAAATCAAAATAACAGGTAAATTAACAAGAAAAGAATTTTATTATATAAAAATAAAATTCACAAACATAGGAATGATTAATATTTAATAGAAAGCTCATATAAAAATAAATTGTGTAACCTAGACAGGCAGCAGCACTGCACGTGTTCATGCTACCGCTGCTTGCTGTGGGGATCTCGTCAGCGTAACAAATCAGGCCAGCTGTGTAAAGCTTAACGTGCGCTGATGGACTTGTTCCTAACGTAGTTTTGGTAGTTTTCTTGAATAGCCACTGTCCTATATGGAATTACATTTTTAAAGAGAGCAGGCTTCGGGAAAAAAAAGGATTTTTTTTTAAAAATCCGCTTTGTACTTTCTCGTATATGCGAAGTATAGAGAAAGTATTGTAATCGTGCACAAAAATCACTTGAAATTTTAACAATTTTCACCGTATTACACCTCAGTCCTTTATCACATCCGAAGTATAGAGGACTTATTTTAATCGGGCAAAAATTATCAATCCAGATTTATCAAAATTAAGAGGTTTTATGCATAATCCAGTCTGAAAAACTGGGCTTTACAATTCTGTCCGTATGTCTGTGTGTCTGTCTGTCTGTCCGTGTGTAAACACGATAACTTGAGTACCGTTACAGCTAGGTTGATGACATTTTATATATAAGTATTTTATCAAAATCGTAGATCCGTATCAACTTTTGAGCGATTTCCGATAACCGGAAGTGGTACGTTTTCTACTTTGAATTTTTCAAAAGCCTATAACTTGAGTACTATTTCAGATAGATAAATTAAATTTCACAAGTAAGTATAAGATCTAATTCTCTACCTTCTGTCAAATTTTGAGTAATTTCCGTTGCCCGGAAGTACTAATTTACGCTATTTCCGATTTCTCAAAAAACTAATGTAAATTTTTAAAGTACTAATAATATTGCGCACCATTATGCACTTTTTTATTTGGCGTTCACTTGGTGTGCAATCTTTTGTCTACGAGATTTTATTCTATTTTTAAAACTTTAAGTATTTAAAATGGATTAAAAATCATGTCTATAGCCCGAGTTCTCATCCCCTGTTGTTTTATATAAGAATATTCGAGAAAGTTTAGGGGAGATCACTCCCGGTTTATTTATTTTTATAAGCAATTGTTTTTTCTTCAAGCCTACCCCCTTTATTGGACTACTAAAGTATGAGTTCGCATTTAAAGTAAACTATGAGTAATTTATACGAAAAGTGTAATGTATACATACTCTCTTGTTCTCTCCAACAAACACGGACACGCACGCACACACAAACACACACACAAACAAACATAAATAAATATATATATATATATATATATATATATTTATATATATATATATTATATATATATATATATATATTAGTCATTTGTGTTTGGAACTTACCACGAGAGCAATTACCATTAGTCTCATTATACAAGAAGTTACTGCAATTGTCGGCCAGTGAACACTGACGGGCACAATCGAACAAGCTGCGGGCTTGGGTTGAAACCTCCAAGGTCATGTAAAGAGAGTCCGTGCTCTTTTCCAATCTATAACTGGATAGTTCTGCATTAACATTGAATCCACCTGTTTAAATTAAACTCCGATTATCAGAAGGTTATTTGTGAAAGTTCTACAAATAGTTAAGGGAACACAAAATGGCATTTGGATAGCATATTTTAAAAATAGAATTGTTTATTCAAACACTTGTCTAAACTATTTGCATAATTAAACAAAAAAATGTTCTTTTAAACTTGGGTACCTTAATTAAAACTTAATTTCTAGAGTCATAGCCTAATCTCACAATAAAACTAAAACTCGGATAAATATAAAGATTGGTGCTTTATTAAAATTTTCTCGAGAGTCCGTGCTTCTAACTTTGATAATTTTAACTCATATTTATCTATCTATCTTCTATATACTACTAAAAATCAATTTTGTTTACGGAGCCGTCTTAGTTCTAGTGTAATAGGTTTTCATGCTGGTGGCACGGGTTTGAAACACATATTGTCAACGCTAAAATTGTTTTTATTTTCATTTTTTTAGCTGAGAATAATAAAGTTGCCTCAACTTCTCAGCGATTTCCGATCACCGAAATAGAACTTTTTCTACTTTCAATTTTCGAAAAGCCTATAACTTGAGTACTATTTCAGATAGATAAATACAATTTCACTTGTTAGTAATAGAACTCATTTTCTGCCTTCTTTTAAATTTTGAGTAACTACCGTTGACCAAAAGTAGTAATTAAGGCAATTTCCGATTTCACAAAACACACATGTGAATTTATAAAATACTAATAGTATTTCGCACTATTATACACATTTTATTTGGCGTTTACTTGGTGTGCAATTTTTTTTCTACGAGATTTTTTTCTGTTTTGAAAAGTTTGAGTAGTTAGAAATGGATTTAAAATTATGTCTATATCCCGAGTTGCCATCTCCCGTAGTGCTATATAAGAATATATATCGAGTTCGTTAGTGAGTTTATTTTACCAAATTAGTTGAGTAGCTATGGGAACTAAAATGGGTCCAGTTATGTGTTTCTTTTCATTGGTAACCTGGAGGATCAAATCCAGGAAACGTAAACTGGCAGAATTCCAGATTTTATCGGCGGTACATTGATGATGGGTTAGGTATCACAGAGATGGTAGAGGAATATCTAACATATATTTTATATATATTTTATATTTTCTGCAACATTTACCACCCAAACATTAAATTCACCTCTGAAATTTCAGGCAGTTCTGTTAACTTTCAGGACATGACAAGATCACTTAAAGTTACTAAGTTTGGAACGACTGTATTCTAAAAACCAACCGACTTACACTCATATCTGCTTTATTCTTCTTCACACTCCCGGCCGGCGAAAATTCGACACCATTCTCACAAATATTAGGACTACAACGTATTTGTCAAGATGATGATGACTCTTGGAGCAAGGCTCATGAGCTTTTACAGTTCTTCCGACTCCGGTTATACCCGGAGCATATACTCAAGTAAGCACTACACCGCATAAGAACGGTTGACTACCAGGCCTCCCTCCAACAACTTCCAAAAGATGGTTCAGAACTAAACTCATTTTACCCTACCATCCTCATTATGTTTTGGCTAAAAATATCATTATAAAAAATATTTTATCCTTCAGTCAGGCCCCCATTCACGCCATTTATTTCAACATAATCCTTGGATGGTGTTTTTCTTTTTAGCTAAAAAACATCGATGACGTGTAGTTTTCCATTACACACTTTTTAAGCACAATAAAGTAAAATTCGCTTATAACTGTATTATTCAAGTGTTACTACGTCAAATTAGCGTATAACATCAGATGAAACGCAGAACCAAACAGAAATCCGTTTATAAATTTTAAATCAAAATAATTATGAACCTATTTAGCATGTATACCGAGAGCTAGATGTTAACTGCAACTATGTATATGCATCTTACCTCTTATAGCCAAAACGAACCATAAAAGAATAAACATTATAATACGTCAAATGTTTACTGACACGCAATTTACGATCGCTGTGTAACAAAGTGAGCAATATAAGAGTGTTGCCAATACTAAGCAATTTATAGTTTAACAATTCATTGTATAGCTCATCTCTCCTATTCATCTATTCTACTTTCACGCTGGAACTTAGCACGTCGTTGCAGGCTGCTGTTAAAAATGTATAACCCGTGCATAACATGTTTTGTTGTTGGCTCGTTTGTTAATGTCTTTTTCACATGACCTTGGCTGAATTATTAATTACCAGCAGTGCACCAACGCTTGTTTGCGATGGCACGTCCCTTGTGCTTGCTTCGCCTTGTTGTTGATATCCCTCCATCGCTGCACTAAAAAATCAATTTTTTTAATAACGATTTACAAAGAGTAAGCAACAAACGGGGCCATAAAAATATTTAGCAAAAACAAACTCTTTTTTTACATTCTCGTATACAAAGTATAGAGAAAGAATTGTAATCATGCAATTTTAGAAAATGACGAAATCTGTATCGCTGTTTCAGGATGCTATTTGGCGCTCTGGGTTATCCTATGAAAACCAGGGTGTTTACGTTAGTTTAAAACAGCAAAGGACCGTACGCAGCGCTCTTACGGTATTATAACCGGTGGATCACGAAAGCTCCCCTCTAGACCTTGCTAGGCGGTCACTAAATTATGTTCTACCTCACTTTTACGGTGATTGATTAAGGTACACTCAAGGCTTTCATGTGGTAGGTAAACCCGTGCCCTGATAAGCACGAGAAAAATGCAGGCATTGTTTACATTTAAAATTAAACTTCGGTTTAGAAAAAAAAAATTTACAAGTCTAGGAATATAGGATTGGTAACGCATTTATGAAACGCTTCTTAGATTATTTGTTACACTTTCTTCTATCTACGCGGCAACGCGCGAGGACAGGTATCCGGCCCAGTTCCTGGTGTCGCCAGCCAACTTCTACTTTATTGCAATCGCTATCAATGCCAGCATTTTGCTTTACATATCTCGTAACCATCAGCAAAATAAAACTTGTCAGGTGAATATCTGGAGAGGAGTATTTGGCCATGATAAATGTACAACTTGTAGCAGTAGCATATTTCTAACTACTTAAAGCTTAGGAATAACATGGTTTTTTAACTTCTCCGTTATACAAAAGAAAACAAATAAAGAGCCCATTAGGTAGGATCGAATGACTCATGTTGAACTTTGCATTAACGTCCCTTTTTACGGTTACTAGCAAGAAACGTCTCTTATGTTGAAATGGCGCACCCGTTTCCTGTGTTGTAGAGGGTTGACGCAATATTTTCGGAGGTTTTGTGCAAATGAAATACTTATTACCACTGAAAAGCTAACATGAATTCTTCCACCCTCCTACAACTGGTGAGATCAAGCTACATATAGAAGAACATGGGCATGGAGATGTAGGGTTGTAATAAACCCAAGAGTATTCCGCATTTAACAGCAACCGGTACTAATTTTGAAATGCTAAGGATATTCACAATTCACAATAGCTTATGCTATATATAAAACTTTTTGAATGATGAGATGTTTTTATTTAAATTCGAAGTAAAGATACAATATAGTCATTCGTAAACAGGTTCGAGCCCTAGATATGTCATATCTACTGTCTTAACATATGTCATAGAACATCATATATGTAATATATTCCAGATGATGAGGACCATGTTAATCTTGTTAATTAAAAGTAAGCTAGTTTTATTTTAACAAAAACGTTCAGATGATGTGGCAGCGTTATATGATCCGCAGCATTTCAAAGATAACGCTGCATAGGAGGGAAGCGCGGAAGGTGAGGACAGCTAAAGATAAGACTGCTGAACATCACCAGCGACTAGACAGGACTCTCCTTAAAATATCTTTACGAGGGTCACTCAAGTGCGTTTACATTTTTTTATCTAGGTTAAAAATGGTGCGAAGTATTAGTCATTTGATTTATTTTTAGTTTAAAAATAGTACACTCAAATGCAAAACAAAATGAAAAGAACAATTATTTACGAATCATCTAGTATTCTAAGCCAGTCGTTTGATGAAAGCCACAATACATTTTTTTATGTAAATATTTATGTATGTCAGAGTGTCAAATTCAGCTTGAATTATTGATCACAACAATTGTCACCAGAGTTGTGGTAAGAAATATAGGTTGTTAGAACGTTTGTAATTAGTTTAAAGAAATCGTGTGATAAAATAACATTAACAATTGAAGACTGTAGAAAAGACCGCCAGTGCAAAGAAGACGATTTGGTCATCGATTGTACTAGCTAACCTTTTCGTTACTGAATAGTTGTATTAAAAATGAATGTTGTGCTTATAAAGATTTCTGAGTGCTATGGGTGACTCGACCGTATGAATGGAGTAGTTTTATAACTGTGGACTGTAGCTATTGGTTTAGCTTTTTAACTTGAAATAATAATAATAAAGCGCGTCGCAAGGCTTCCCTAAATAAGTGAGGTTTAACCTCAACTAATGAGGGCCAGTTGAGCTTAACTTGTAGATTTCTGAAACCAGAGGTTAACATTGTTCACGTTGTAGTCAGTGAACCTTCCTGGTAAATATTCCAGTAGCAGAAAAATATCGTGGCACCTGCAACTGGTAGCTGGAAAATCGTCTAACCTCCTCCACAAACGACCACTTGACCAGAAGTGAGCTGGAAACAATTTCTTGCCTTATTTGTGTTCCCAATCTCCATGCACGATTTTTAGTTAATTTTCATCCATACATTCAATCATCTTTTGCTTTATATCTTGTCTATCTTCAATTTTGGCCCATGTCTATGATATGATCCATTCTTTTTGTTCATTTTTTCTTCTTCCCAATATGTCAGTGCATGTTGACTTCCATAGTTCCTGTATTCCTAGCCATTTTTTGCTCTACTGTTTCCTCTGTCAGGCTGAAGAGTGCTTCATACCTATTTTGTTACTGCGCAGTTAAAGTCTTCATTTATTTTTGGACTAATAAGATATGTTGTATTGAATTTAAGGTGCGGTTTATCAGCTCGATCCCTGTAGGATTTTAGTTTTGATTTTAGTGTTGCAACCACGAGTTGGTGGTCTGAGGCTGCATCAGCACCTCGTTTCGCCCTAACATCCATTAAACTTCTTCTCCACTTTCTGGAAACTGTGATGTGATTAATTTTGTTCTTTGTTTAGCCATTGGGTGACGTCCAGGTGGTCTTATGTATATCTTTATGTGAGAAAATTGTCCCCTCTATAATATGGCAGGGCAGACACTATGTTGGAATCCCCTAATAAAGCGGAGAATAAGTAGACCAAGACAAACTTGAAAAAAAGGTCAGCTTAACGTGCAGCAGAAGCTGCCAGAATGTCGTGGACCCGTTTTGGAGTAACCGCCCAGAACCGGGCAAGATGGAGAGTTTGACAATGGTAACATTATGCTTTAAAAAGCTCAAATTAATTTTGTTCTGACATTGGAGAAAACGAACAAGGTATACTACTTTATTTAACAATATAAAAAGTTAATTAAGCAAAACATTTTTAATTGAGGTAGGCCTATATAGTTATTTATCTATTTCCCATTTTTAAGAATTATAAATGTATTTCAATGATATAAGGCCTCAAATTGTTTTTTTTTTAAAAACACTATTATTCTTTGTTTTCTAATACTTATTTGTTTCTTTGACAAAAGCTTAGTTGTAGATTCTATTTAATCACACACAAAATAATTAAATTATCAAATTAGAATGTCTGACAATCGTATCCTATTAAAAATTTATAGAAGGGTTGGGACCAAATTGAAATAGTGAACAAATAAACGAAAAGAAATATAATCGAAAGATAATAATGCATTATAAGGAAATGAACTAGTTAATTGGAAACATTTTTTTTCATTTGGACACTTTTTTTCTTCGAAGCAAAATTTTGTTACAATTCTCCCTTAAGAGAAACAATAGTATTTCTAAAAAAAAATAATTCATAAAAAAACGTACAAATAACACGACTTTATGTAATAATGCACTAAAAGGGAGAGAAAAAAAAGAATTTACTTTTTATTTATCATATTACACTACCGTTTAAATAACTATAAAGAAACGTGTAGGTCACTTTTTTATCATTGAAACCTTTACTAAAATTTAAGAAAAGACTCAAGCTTTTCTTTATAGTTATTTAAATAGTAGCGTATTATGATTTGTTCAAAAATATCATAAAAGCTTGTTATTATAACATTTTTTTTTACCTGTTTTCATCAGTAAATTAAAATCTGTTTGTTTACAAAAGATTTGCAGGACTAAAAACTTAGCGAACCTAACGAATACGAGAAAGCAGGGCGTAGCGAGGGGGGGGGGGGCGGGGGTGCGGACCGCACCGTGTGACACCATTTAGGGGGGTGACACCAAGGCAAAAAATAGCAAAATATATAGAGAAAAACTCGAGGGGGGGGTGCAAATCGAAAGTTTGAGGGGGGTGCAAATCGAAAACTTGAGGGGGGGTGCAAATCGAAAGTTTGAGGGGGGGGGGGTGCAAACGGAAAATTTGAAAGTTTGTCCCTGGGAAGGGTCTCTATGCCTCTGGGGGGTGACACCATTAAGTGCCGCACCGGGTGACACCCGACCTCGCTACGCCACTGCGAGAAAGTACTTGTAATAGTGCGGAATATTTGGATAAAAGAGCCTACTGATTTGGAGAAAATTTCAATTAATTCTTAAAAAATTAATTAGGTATCCATTTAAGTCAAATTAATGTCAGATTGCATTAGCTTCTTGTCTTGACACATGCGCCAACTGTGAAAGGGTCAGTTAGAAAAGCCAAAGTCTTCGCTCGGGCGTTTCAATCTATGACGACAGATAGACTGTCGATAGACAGTAATTTTTTCGGCATTTTAGCAACATATTTAAAAATGTTTTTGTTTCTACATTAACACCTAATAATTTTTTCTACAAAACTATGTACTTTAAAAGTTAAACCAAATAACAGACTTTTCGATGTCTTAAAATTGACGAAAAAAGGAAAAAAAACAAACAACCTGGAATGATCTCCCCTAAACTTTATCGAAGATTCTTATATAACAGTACGAAGGATGGCAACTCGGGATAAGGACATGATTTTTTTAATACATTTTTAATTACTAAAAACTTTAAAAAATAGAATACAATCTCGTAGACAAAATAATTGCGCACCAAGTGAACGGCAAACAAACTGTGTATAATAGTGCGGAATATTATTAGTACATGCTTTTTGAGAAATCGGAAATAGCATAAATTATTTCTTCTGGGTAAAGCAAATTACTAAAAATTTGCTAAAAGGTAAAGAATTAGATATAATTAACTTATTTTTGAACTTTCGTTCATCTATGTGAAATAGTAATCAAGATATAGGCTTTTGAATCACCAAAATCGCTGAAAAGTTAAAACAGAACTACAAATTTTATATATAACTAATTGTATATGAAATTTCATCAACCTAGTAAAAAAAGTACTGAAGTTATCGTGTTCACAGACAAACTCACAGACACACTCACAGACATACAACCAGAATTGCCAAGCTCAGTTTTTCCGAATCCATTACGCTTAGAACGCTGAAATTTTGATAAATCTGCATTTATTATTTTTGCCCTATTAAAATAAGTCCTATATTTTCCGTATATTATGAAGTAATGAGGAATAAAACGATGAAAACTGTCAAAATTGCATTTGATTTTTTGCACGATTACAATACTTCCTCTATACTCTTTATATGAGAAAGTATAAATGAGCTTTTTACAAGCTTTTCTTTAACTCACTCCCTCTGTCGCCAGTCGTCAGTCTGTCTGTTTGAATCGGAACGCCCGTGCAAAATTGCAGGCACTTCTAACTGACAGATACAGTTCGAAGTTGGAACGCTTGGTCAAAACATAAAGACAATGCAGCATGACATTCAATTTGACTTAATTGGTTGACTAATTAATCTTTTATGAATTAATTAATATATAGTCCAAATTATTAGGCTGTTTCATCAAACTATCCCTCGCTATTAGACACGTGTAATCACTATCAACAGGGCGTCATCACGTTCAATAGGTGCGCAATGGTGTTTAGTCACGTGTCAAAATTAGTAG